GGCCGCCGCATCAGGGCACTGTTTGGTTTGTGACGCGAGGAGACAGAAGCGTGCAGCGCTCGCAGGCTTTGTTCCGTTTCTAGTGAACTTGTACGTCTGCCGGCTCACACGGCGGGCGTCCTGCAGCTGGGCAGTTATTGCACAGCTGGTTTCTGACAACGTTTTAGAAACAGCTGCCTGATGCAGCCCAAAATAATGATTGTGTGGTCAGAAAACCACGACAGCTGAGCTGGAGGGCACAGAGGGCTGCAGTCTGGACATAAGGAGCATTGTACTGATTACAACACAATTATGGATGCACTCGTTTTCAAATGCTAGGATAATATTGATGCTGATATTAAAAGACGCCGGTGCTAATGGCGTGCCAGTGGTTTCATCACCGTTTATCTGATGTGTTGTTGTTCGTGCTTACTTCCCTCTGAGGAAACAGAGACTGCTGATTGGGCCGTGGTCTGAAACAGCACCACACTCCTACATATAACAGTGTCAGGGGCAGCAACGGATTTCTATTGTAATCTGTTCGTTGTTTTATCTTTAAAATGTTAGAAAACAGAAAGAATATTCTCCATTTTTCTTGTCATCGTCACATTCCTTGTTTCGTTCCACATCTACAAACATTTGCAGTTTAGTGTCAGGGAGGTTTGTGATGTCTGGAAAAGCAGAAACTGTGTAACAGTGACTGAATTAATCTTCATACTTTAAACCAATAAAGGCAGCAAATGTTTGCTTTCCTGTTTGTTTCCTTGTCAGTTAAATAACGTCGCTCGTGCTTTTTCACGTACACGATGAAGCGGTAACTGTCAGCTGACTGGTTCTTTCCCGTGTCACATGATCATCACTTTGAATACTCCATGAATCATGGCCGTGTGTTTTCATTAACACACCTTACTTCCTGTTTAACATTTTCCAAACGGTGACCTCTGAGAGCCGAGCTGCTCCAAACAGCAGAAATCATCTTAATCTACATTACGGAGCAAATCTCACAGTGCTCCAGCTGTGAGAGGGTTCGTCCAGGCACGTCCGTGTGTGTCAGAGGAAGTGTCCTGTGGTTTGATGAATGGACACAGAAAACAATGGCAGGCCCTGCAGGCAAGCCAGCGCTGGTGTAGCACCCACTATCACAGCCCGGTGATATCAGCCTGTGACTCCTTCGCCTTTATATGGTCGCCTGCTGATCCGTCATCTCGCTTTTGTTGAGATTCAATTCATCTGCTGTGGCTGCGCAGTAGGGCTGCCACGATTAGTCGACTATCAAAATCATTACGACTGATTTAATAGTCGACGCGTCGTTTGAAGCTTTGTAAGATCCCAAAAGACGCAGGAATAAGTAGTAGGATTTAAGAGTGTAATAACGGACTGAAACAGAAGAT